AAAAGAAATTACTCTGAAGTAAGTTTGTGTATGGCACTGGAAGGACAAGCATCTATGTATATGGCAACGTTTTTTGGTGGAAAATATGAGCTGAACCCGTTTGGTGACGCAATCTTTTTGGCTGTCTGCGGATGGAAAAATAAGTGTGAAATGCGAAGTCATCAATCGATTAGGGACTGTATTTTGCAGGCTCGTAAGTGCAGGTCGTAACCAACACGCTTCGAACCCACTTTTTTATGTCACCAAAAATCAGGGGGATAAAATTATTTGCACATAAGCCGTATTGTGGTATTCCAGCCTATCGGATTGCCAAAAAAAACTTATCACCATAAATTCGATAGTTCATCAGTAAAGATGCGGATAGTCAGCGCCGCACGACTTTGGAGAGATGGCTAGAGGAGGGGGTTTATTTTGTGAATCCATCACTACTGGCCTGCTTTTTCCAAGTTTTGGCGTATTCTGGATCTCGTTCTCTGGAAGCAATCGCATCTTGTCCCCTGTCGCGCGACTTTAACAGGTCTTGTTTTTTGGCTTTCCCAACCACGAGGCAAGTCAGCAATTTTCGCTCGCCGTTTATCAACGCTTCAGTGTCTTCACTCAGAATATTGTTTTCGGATTGGTTTCAGAGTACGATGTTTTTTGTGAAGTTATGTGCTCGGAACTGATGACATTGTGCACGTCGTTTGTTATGGATGGACCAAGTGGTATCGGTAATATTCCAGCGTTTTTGGGTGCGATCCTTTGCGCAAACTGGCCTCGTCATATGTCGAAGGTAAAGGCATGCTCTTCAAGCTCACATGTTGTGCTTCGCTTCTATTTCAATGTCGATTAGCCCTTTTTCAAAAATTATGTGTTTAGGCTATAGACACAATCAATCCGATATTATACACTTCGGTTTCTGTCATAAAAGGCTGGATCTTAGTCCTCGAGGAAGACAATGAGGTGCGTATGATCACCGCAGATTCGCTGAACTTGTGTGACTTTTTCAAAAACCGAATATGGTACTGGCACTTGAAGTGAGATGAGATGTTGTCTCCTGTTTGGGTGGTTCACTTGTTGATTTGTGAAGTTTTGAAAGGTTACATCTACAGTAGCGCTCAAAAGTCTTCGGTGAAATGCTTTGACGCTTTTTCGTTCCACGAGTAGGAAAGGAGTTACGACTGAGAAGTCGGGCTGAAGAACCATTTCACCGAAGACTTTTGAGCGCTACTGTAACTAGTGCATGGAATATCTTCTACCTCCGTCCCCCATCTCTGACCGTGTCGGGTAGCGCAGTGTAGAAAATCATGTTTTTAAGAACAGTGCCCCGCAGGAAAAACTCAAGTAAAGGGACTGAAGGAGTTTTTCTCTTGGTTGTCAGTGAAAAACTGTGAAGGATTGACTTGTTGAATTTTAGGCCGTTATTAGAGCTGCAAATACTTCCACGGGCAATATTGATGAGGCGAATTCGTCATTGAATGATTCAGAAAGAGAGGATCCTGAAATTGTGAATAGGTTGGTTATCATGCCATTATCATAGTTCATATTACTTCAGCAGGTCAAGCGGTGGACATGATTTTTTATAAGTTCAGCTCATGTTTTTCATAGATGTGCTCATTCTGTCTGTTTGCTGTGTGAATCAGCTCAACGCTCATTGTGGATGAAGTGGCCGGAATTGTGCGACGAAATCTATGCTGTGATTAAGCCCTGCATTACGCACAATCAAATTATTACTGGGTGCGTTTGTACTATGGTTTTACCTTGATTTTTTTTTTTATCGAATCGCTTACTTTTTCTGAAATGGAGAGTCTTCAAACATAGGCTTCCTTATAAAACTTCTCGAAAGGAACTTGCGATTTTACTCCTTGGATTAACCGGCGAAAGTTTCATTGCAAATAAGCAGCCTTCCTGATCACATAGGCACGCTAAGGGCTGTTTGCCCGGCCGCACTGTTTTTGCACTTATCTAGAAGAGCTGTTTTGAAAATCTTGTTTGTTCCTGATACAATCTTACCTGGAAGGTCGTCTCTGTAATCGGGCGGGTTCAAGGTCAAATTTGAATTTGAAATTTGGACGGCACGGCGTGACAGATATTTCGTTGCTTTGTTTATAACTGTGCCTCGCGTTTTTGTCACATCTCTTATGCAACATCAGTTGTGTTGTTTCCTTCTGTCTTATTTTTGGCTATTTTGTTCAGGTTTTTATTTTAGGGACGTTAAATCAGGTCTACTTCATACTATAATGTGTTTGAATGCTTGGACTAGGACGAAAGCGGTTACAATGAAAAATACCCAAACACAAACCGTTCGTTCAAATTTTTCATGACAGTCTTGTCTACCCCGCATTTCAATTCAGCCCAATAATTTTTCTTATCATCCATATACTTTCAATTTTGCCGTNGTAACTCATTATTTCAAGCATTTCTGTTTTTGAAGGAATGTAATAGCTAAACTTAGAGATAATTTTTGACAAGAAATCTAGTCCGACGCCTGTCGCTAGTGTTATACAGGCAAGGTCCTGCTCAAGAACTGTCGGTCTCCGCAATATATACAGTATTTTCAGAGTATTCAGAGTATTTCACTTAATAGCTCTCTAAAATCTGTTTATATGTAGCACAAGCTGATGTCAGGATAAATAGCTCGTGTTGATGCCATATTATTGTTTATTCGTTATAAATGTGAGTTATGTAACCAATATCAAGCGGATATTATGCAAAGTTTAACTAGCTTTGTTCGTTTAGTTATTGTACATATGTTTCCTGTGAATTTTTAGGCGTGCTGTTGTTTGAGGCGTTGGTCGTTTTACTTGTCATTGTGATCTACACTTAACTCTATCGATCTTTGCTCGTTCACCTATGTTCCTCGTTTTTGTATCAATTTATGTTTGTCGATCTGATCTACGTATGATGACCACAGCACTTGAGATCGGTTGTATTCAGAAATTCCATAAAGTACCTCGACTCTGCCCTCTAGATGCTGATTTATAGAAAAGTCCGGATAAGTTAGAATGTCGTCTTTGCAACTACTATATTTGGTGAAGTACGGATTAGAAGGTGTCATAAGTAATGAATCATTGTTGAGTCGTCTCTTCCCGATTGTTTACTCACCACAGAAACTAGGCTTTCCAGTCCGGTGGGTGGTAGTCACTTTCCCGTATTACGGGAAAGGGAGAAAGTAAAGCTGTGAAAGGCAAATATTATCTCAAATTACGGTAAGCTCTAAGAGAGTAAGGTACGCTAGATCAGTTTTTTGTTTTGTCAGCAATGAGGACCATTCGGGATAAGGGTTTTACCTCATAGGTCGACGATTTACGGGTCAAACGTTTGAAATAAAAACAATTCGAGTATGTTTCGATCCTAATTCACGCAATCTTGCTGGAAACGTCCATAGTCGATCATTTTTTTACTTGTCTTTTATAGGTTTCTATTTTTCTCAGTATAATGGTAGACAAGATGTTATCTATTTGACTATCAGTTCAGCTTATTAGATAATCAAAGCATACAAAAGTCAATTAGTGGTCGAAAGGGGCCGTTGCTCCCCTTATCTTGGCTAGTCTCTATTCTGGACATACATATTTGCCTAGTTATGTGACTGGGCTTGAGTCCACATGTAGTTAGGCAATGCCGATGGTAACAACTTCCATGTTCGGTCTTCTTGAAACCTGGGCATTTTACATAATGTTTAATACTGCTTTGCCGTACAGGTTTGTTATGGCTGAACCGCTTTATTGGTCAACGTTTCGA